GGAAGGCGAAGTATTTCACTACCCTCGACGCAAGCAAAGGCTACCTCCAAGTGGAGATGAGCCCGGGCGACGAAAGCAAAACTGCATTCGTGTGTCACCGAGGCTTGTTCGAGTTCACTCGGATGCCGTTCGGATTAACAGGTGCACCGATGACATTTCAGCGGTTGATCGACGGAGTGCTCGGAGATGCCAAGTGGCAGCACGCGCTCGCGTACCTGGACGACATCATTGTGTACTCGGAAACTTTCGAGGACCACCTTCGTCACCTCGAGGACGTGTTGCGCAAACTACGAATCGCCGGCCTCACACTAAACCCGACTAAAGCTCAAATTGGAGCTTCTGAGATCAGCTTGTTGGGATTCCGGATCGAGAGAGGAAAAGTTTCCCCCGACGCGGACAAGTTGCGGGCGATCTTGGAGTTCCCAGTCCCTACCGATGTCGGGGGAGTGCGCCGTTTTCTCGGCATGATAGGATACTACCGAGCCTACATCCCGAACTGCGCCGCCATGCAGGCACCCCTCACGCAGTTGCTGAGGAAAGCTGCTCCCTGGAGCTGGGAGGCGCCGCAGGAGGAGGCGTTCCTCCAGCTGACCGAGGCCTTGGCGCGTACAGCATCCCTCAAACTGCCAGACCTGAATAGGCCCTTCACGATCCAGACGGACGCCAGCGACCAGGGACTCGGCGCGGTGCTCCTGCAGGAGACAGAGGGAGAGATCCGCCCGGTGGCATTTGCCAGCCGGGCGCTGAACCCGGCGGAGAAGAACTACACGGTGAGTGAGCGCGAATGCCTCGCCATCATTTTTGCTCTTAAGAAGTTCGATCATTATGTCGAGGGGACGGAATTCACGATCGAGACGGACCATATGGCCCTCGCGTGGCTCTCCCGAATCAAGGAACCCGCCGGAAGACTGGCGCGCTGGGCCTTGACACTGCAGAAGTACGAGTACCGAATTCGGTACCGGAAGGGCACGACAAATGTGGTGGCCGACGCGCTCTCCCGCGCACCCGTGGATCCCCCACCGCGCGAGGCAACAGACTACGGAGGCGGGGCCATCCCCCAGGAGACGGGAAATCCCGCCTCTCGCTCCGCTCCCCACTGTGGCGGCGTCGCGCAGCTGGCTGAGGCGATTACCTCACTGGGACCGGCGTTCAACCGAACGGAACTGTACGAAGCACAGCAGAGCGATTCGTTTTGTCGCGCTATCTTCGACCGGCTCAGGCAAGAGATGGATCCTGACCAGACGGGCGAAAAGACGCTCCGGCACTCCGGAACACCGAGAGGGCCAAGTGCCACCGCCCAGGAGTCAGACATTGAAGCAGGTGAGCTGGAGTCTTACCTGATCGATGGGGACGGCGTCCTGCTGCGCTACTTCCCGGAAGAGAGCGATTCAAGTGAGTCGTTCAAGACCGTGATTCCCCGCGATCTCAGAGTGGCAGCGCTGCGTCACTACCACGATGCGGACGGTCATGGCAGTGCACCGAAGTCGTGGCATAAGCTGCGCCGTTTCGCTACCTGGCCGGGCATGAAGGGGCAGCTGTGCCGTTATGTCCGTAGCTGCGCAGTGTGCCAAGAGCGCAAGCCCAGGGGCGGCAGACCACCCGGCCTGCTCGAGCCCATCGTGAGTACGCGGCCATGGGAGATCGCGGCCTGCGACTTGATGGGACCCCTGCCGCGGTCAAGCGGAGGCTATCAACATGTGTTGGTAGTCACTTGCCACTTCACCGGATTCGTCGAGATGTTTCCAATGCGGAAGGTGACAGCCAAGGGAGTCCTGAGCAGGCTGTCCGAGGTCTGGTGTCGCTACGGGTTCCCCGAGAGACTGGTGAGTGACAACGCCTCGATATTTTGCTCGAAAGTCTTCGCGGCAACCTGCCAGGCCCTCGGGATTAAGCATTGTAAGACTTCGTGTTACCATCCACAAGCAAATGTGACCGAGCGGCGGAACCGCGACATCAAGCCGCTGCTCGGGGCGTATGCTCGAAAGCAGCGGGACTGGGATCTGCATTTGGATTCGATTTCGTTTGCATTGCGGTCCAACCTCAACCGCAGCACTGGGTTCACGCCTGCGCTTTTGAACTTCGGCAGAGAACTCTCTACGCCGACCGATGCGGTTCTTCGCCCGCGACAGAGCGCGGCCAGAGCGGTGCCCTCGTACGAGGACTTCGCAACGCGCACAAGAGAGCGACTGTCGCGGGCGCTGGACGCCGCCCGCGGAAACAGGGCTCGCGCGCGGGCGGAGCAGAAGAACACCTATGACAAAGCGCACCGCGATGCGCAGTTCGAGGTGGGCGACACCGTTCTGCGGCGAAGTCACGTGCAGAGCGATGCGAGTAAGTTCTTCTCGGCGGCGTTGGCCCCCAAGTGGGTTGGCCCCTTTGTCATCGATTCCAAGAAGTCTCGACTGACATACACGCTGAGGGACCAGAATTCTGATCTCGTCCGCGGGACAGTTCACATCGGCGAACTGAAACCCTTTTTCCCCAGGGAAGGGGATGAGCCGGTCAAGCGGCCGCAAAGGGGCATTCGCGGGCGCCAACGATCTCAGGAGTTCCTGGGACCACCGCGGCACAGCTACAACACGCGTAGCCGGAGGCAACCCGATGGAATCGGAACTTCGTAGAGTGCGTGGCCCGGGAAAGGGAAGAAGAGGGGGGAGCGATCCGAAATCGGCGTTCCCGGCATTTTTTTTTTTATTGTTTTTCTTTGTGGGTGGGGGGAGGGTGCCTCGGAACCCTCAGTGTTTGTTTTCCTTGTTTGTGCTTTGAATGTTTTTTGTTTTTTTCTTGTGCGTCATCGCCCCTGCGGCTGCTGCTTCGAGACGCAACTTGGTGTGCATCGAATGGTCCTCTCTGGGAGGGATGAAAGGAGGAGTCGCCGTTTGGACAAACACCAGCTTGGGCTGAGCTCCTCGTCTTCTGGCAGCGTATTCCCCGGCAGGAACCACAGCTCGGGGAGCCTTGTGGGATGTCCGCGACGCCACGCAGGACGCCGGGGTGCAGTTCTCAGTGACACTGGACTTCCAGCCCCGCATCGTTCCGGGAGGGCGGTCGCAGCTGGGTCGCAACCACAGTCCCTCTCCGGTGCACCACTCTGTGGAGGGGCCAGTCTCATGGTGGCCAGGCACACTGCTCAAGGACCCCGTTGCCCCGGAGGCCGCCGCCAAGCCGAAGTCGACACAGTCTACTGTGAGGTGTGTGGTGGCCGCGCACCCCAGGTCTCGGGCGAACTGATGGACCTCAGTGAGGACGACCCATGGGACCAGCGGTGTGTGTGTGCGTGTGGGGGGTCTCCAGGCCAAACCAAGCGACGGTGTTCCCAGCAGCCTAGCCGTACGTCTGAATTCCGGCGTACTTCGATTTTTAGGAGAGGGGAGTATGGCGCACCGTGAATTCACGAGGGCGCCCATCAAACCATTTGGCCAATCTTGGCCGCGACACGATCACATGGTCGTGTTGCCGCGGGGTCGATCGGGATCTCGAATTCGGCTCCCGACGCGCCGCTTTCTCTCCTAGCCACTGGAGGGCGCTGCAGGCGCCCCCGTGGCAGGCGAGGAGAAACCTCCTCGCCCATCGACAGATATACTCGGTGGGGCAGGGGGCGAGAGGCCTCTAAGAACTCCGGACGAGACCGAGACGCAGGCAGGCAAGTGGGTGGCGACCGGATCTAGGATATCGCGGGACGCGAGGCCTAAGGGCCTCCTTTGTGTTTAGCTTTAGCCTGAAAGTGCATTTGTAAATAATTGTGTAATGTAGCTTGTATTTGTAGTTTAGATTGAGTGTTTTGTAGTGTTGTGTTTTATTGTACGAATAAACGGGGAGCGGAATCCCGCTCCCGTGAAAGAACCAGGCTGGACTCGGTTCGTTGACGGACCACGTGGGAAATGGCGAATCGGCGGCGGTACGCGATTTCCTACAAGTTGTAGCATCATTCTTATCCTGTCTCTTTTTTTGTTTTTTTAATGTGGAGCCAGCCCACACGTAAGACCGAGGCAACGATACTACGGAATGATACTGACCCCCCTGTGACATTTTACCTTCACTGAAAAGTCCCAACCGAACTTTCCATCACGCCAACCGCGTCCTGCGCAATATAAAGCGGGCTCGCGCCGCTTCTGGATACTGTCTTCTGCTACCGTTTTGAGCAGCGTGGCAGAAAGCATTCCTCAACGATCACAGCTGCACTTCTCAACGCCACGTGTTACCAGAAAAGCAGGAGGAAATTCCAGCACCTCGCGACTGAAACTAAAAAAGCCACAGCGCTACAGAGACGAACGCGATCGAGAAAGCATGAGAGCAAAGCGGACACAACTACCAAGGACGAGAATAATGATCATCCACGTGTGACGACCATCGGCGCATGAATACGGCGAGCAGAAGCGGATTACAAAACGGGAAAACTTCGAAAGAAAAATAAGATGCCTCGATCGCCAGTCGTTGACCTCACGTAACTACAGTGTTCGCGTTCAGCGACGAACACTGACGCTTTAATTTTTCTGATTCTACTAACGTCACGTGTAGTGCGAAATTAACCGAAATATCAGACATTTCATCAGCGCGTGAAATACACCGGTGCGCGCGGAGGACGCGCAGAAGCCGAATTTAAAGAGCAAACGTGTGACGTGTACTTCAGTTCCCCACAGCCTCCAAACGAACGCACGATTCTGGCGTATCGAAAGGGTTAAAGAAAAAAAGAAGCCCACGTGGTATAGTAACACGCCGACTGTCAAATTGCAAAAGACGCGTAGTTCAGACCACAACGGATGACGACATATGCCGTCCTTTCTAGTCGTTTACGTACGCGTCGATCGCTCGAACAAAAAGCACGAACATACAAAGCAGCGCATGCAAATCATGACGCGGTCATACAAAGGCAACTCAAAGTATACACACCGACTACTTATGCGAGCAACTAAGGACAGCGTAAACGACGCATATTAGATAGCCGGAGGGGCCGCACGAAAACACGAGACAGACACGACAGAAAAAGAATGCCTACGAACCCAGTGTCTTGAAGAAAGAGTTTGAATGGACGACCATGCCGACACTGGAGCGTGTAGCTCGACGCTACGAAGGGAGAGCAACGAACACGTCTGGGACGCGGACAATACTGTAGCAATGACACCGGTGAGGTGCCGAGGCGATGGTGGCACAAAGAGTTAACAGGATGGACGATACAGGAACATACGATCAGAGATACTAGACACGCAAAACGGACTGACACGAGCACACACGCACTACAGACACGTCCCTGGCTCTCAAGCGGAGCGGCTGGTTTGTGCTGTGCGTCTGTGAAATGGTGAGGTGTGCGTGGTGTGCGTGCGAAACGCATAATTTGTCTGTTTTGCGCAGGTAGCGCCATCTAGTAGAGGCAATTGCAATGCAGTTCACCGAGTACTTCGGCATGTCGCCAGATGGCGGGACATGTAAGCTAAAACTAGGGTGCCTCGATGTCAGCGTTTATCGAGGCACCCTAGCTAAAACACGAATTGCCAAAGCTCTGAGGCTGGCAACAGAAAGAATAAAACCTCTGAGGCTGATTCAAAGTAAAAGTGCTGGATATTTGGATCTACAAAATATGGTGCCTTTTGCCTGTGTTTAGGCGTAGGCAATAAGGCACCACACAGCACTCAGTACAACACACTTTGTTGCATCCAGCGCAGCCAGTGCGTGACGAAGCATAAACAAACAACCCAAAACAAATATAAAAAAAAAAGACAACAACGATGTTATCCCCAGCTAACCTAGTCTCCGCCTTTTTTTAACAACCTTTGGGCGGTGAATATGGTGAAATTGCGCTAAAGCATTAGCCGAAGCTATGCGCTGAGCTGGGTGACACGAAAGACCGTGTATTGACGTCACTGTAAAAAACATTTAAAAAAATGATAATAAAGAAGAAAGTATCGAGTGGTAAAATGGTTGCGATGTCATTCGCTTGCATGTATGCACGGTAGTGCATACATGCAAGTGCCTCAATGGAACAAGAGTAAAAAGTCAGGCGGTCTGAAAAAATGTTCGATTATGGTGATTAGTACGCACCGATGTTGATCTGTGCATCTCATGAGTATCCATAATGAAACTATCACATGGATGAAGAAAGTATAAAACAGTTAAAACAGGAACGACACAACCACATCATTCATGAAAGATGTGGTTGTGTCGTCCCTGTTTTAATTGTTTTATTCTTTCTTCATCCATGACTTAAACCAACACGCTCTTCTCCCAAGAAACTATCACGTCCTTGAAATAATTCGTGAGGTTCGGCCAGACGGACGAAGCACTTAATTTTTCAATTCCACGAATTGAGTGAAAGCCACCATCAGTATCGTTTCCCTAACAGAGGGAGACTAATTCTATTTTATTTTAAATAAATGTGGGCTATATATATATATATATATATATATATATATATATATATATATATATATATATATATATATATATATATATATATATATATATATATATATAAGAGAGATTTATATATGTATGTATGTATATATATATCCTTTTTTTTTTTTTTTTTTTTTGCGCTGTGGCGCTAGCTGGTGCCGGGAAAGGAACTCGGATGACCATTTGAACCGGTGCGCGCGAGGTACGCGGGCGGGCAGCGAAGGGAGGTTCGTCTGCTGTGGTGGGAGCGCTTCGCGATCGGACTGGCTCTCAGGGTTTTGGTATCCATAGAAAACTCGCTATGTTTGGAAGAACTCTTTAAATATAAATACATCTCGTCGCCACACCGTCTGCTGCGCCAAGTGGCGCGGTAATTCTTGGAAATGCGCGGTCAAAAGTTTTGGATACCCGAACGAAAGGAAAGGTTCGCTCTTTCATGTTCCGTTTTCAGTTAAAAAGTATTAAAACTATGGGGTAACAAAGGGCGATCATTGGGCGATCATTGCCTCAGGGCAATGAAAGCAGCTGATTTCTTTGAACAAAATTTAGAATAATGTCGTAATTTTTGTTTTTATAATGTCATCTAAAAAAAAAAAAAAAAAAAAAAAAAAAAAAAAGTTCTCTTTTACGTTTTTGTCTGGATCGATCTTTTTACGATCGAAACAAATTGCCACAATGGCGGTATAGCGCGATATTCCCTTTTATTGAGTATTGAGCGGGTAAACTTAACGTGATTATTGACTCGTCGCAACATTAGATGATAATGCGGTTTTATTTCCGCATTCCCTCCGCTCGGTTTTGCTTTAGCCACGCCTGTTTGGGCAGTAGAAAACGCACGAAAGACTTGAAAACCTCGCTTTCCACACTAATTGTTAGATTTCTTAACCTTTCCCTTTCGTAACTTCCAAGACGCTGACACTTTTTGCAGCGATCACCGCAGTCATCCGTGAAATTTATTTACCCACTAGAAGTTATCGACGCAAAAGCGCGGGACACGAAAAGCTAACAACGTGTGTCAGCTACTTATTTATTAGCTAAGTTGGACATGCAATGACTGGCGATCATAATTTTTTTTTTTCGTTTTATGTCTCCAGTATTTAACGTAAAAAGTAAAATGTCATTTTGATAGAATGGAATTAGAATGTAATGTAGGGTCGTCTCTGCAAAACTTGAAATATTTCAGATTGGCTAGCTGGCTGATACGGACTCCATTTACACGTCCCGCCCGACCTGCATCCAGATGAATGCACGTGATTTGCCTCCTGGGCAAGTCTGCGAAGACAGCGACTGCTCGAATAAACCTGTGAAGACAACGGCTCCATTCAGCCAAGCTCAACGCATTGCAGAAGACTGGACCACGCTAAACTTCACATAGAAGATTTTTGTGAGTCACTGTACCAACATCCTATTTAATAAAATAAGCGCAAAGGAACAACGATCGCATATTTTATTGCGCGCACGTCGCGTCTCAAGGCGCACGTCACACGTCACATGTCAAGCCTTCACATGTCAAGGCTCATCAAAACTGCGGTTTAGGAGTCATTAAAACGAACTCTTAAAACGGCTGGATTATTGCGGGACGTACGTACGTACAGCTATATACGGACAAAGGTTGTGAATGCGGTTCATATGCAAGTATCAAAACGTCTATTGCACGAGGTTTATCAATTATAATATGTAGTTCCAACATTTGGTCATCTAGATTATCAGACTGTCAACGTTCGTCAACAAGCGACACAGCAAAGCTCGATTTGTAATATGATTATCGATGATGGATGCGCCAGTCACGTTTACAGTCAACTATTATCGGCACACCACTATCGCAATTTCTAAATACAAACCGAATACCCATATCCAAAGATATACCCGTCAATTCAATGGGGAACTTTAAATCTGCATCCGAAGTCAAGATTATTTGTATGATACAGATGTCTCTCTCTCTACTTTTTGTTTCATGTCGGTTTAATTTTTGTTCATTCAGATTACGTCCAGCGCAGGGTTAACGGCTATTGCGAATAGAAGAAAATGTGCGCAAATTCTGAACAATAAGAGAAGGATCACTTCTGCAAACGCCATCAAGTCGAATTCGTGTCTGTCAGACGCGTTCCAGTTAAGTTCACAACAATCACAGTGAGTTAGAAATACTGAGAGAGAAAAATCGGTAGCCCTTTTAGGCAAAGATTTTAATTCACATCTTTATTTGTGTGTATCATCATATTTCGGACTCGGGACGAGCTACTAATATATTCGGCTTTGTAGATCTTTTCAAGCACAGCGTATTTTAGGGGCGAAGCTCCTTATGGTCTACCCTTGTCCGGCGTCCGTGCTCATATAGATTGCCATTCCATCTGTCTTCCTAAAAAAAGAAAAAAATGTTTGCGCAGTCGACAGGATTCGAACCTGTGCGGGGAGACCCCAATGGATTTCTAGTCCATCGCCTTAACCACTCCGGATTGCGGGACGAGCTCTGAGATGTGGTAGTAGCTCAAAAGCTGGAGATGTCATGGATGAAACGTTGCATGTAGTCGCTCAACGTCTATACAGGAGAGGGCGCTGCGGTCAAATGCGTATATAATCGCATTAAACTTTGCATGCATTGGCTCAACGTTCATAGACGAGAGGGCGCTGCGGTCAAATGCAAAACCACTGGCTCTGCATTTCGCCGACCACAAAGCAGTAATAATGAAGTCGAAACGCAACCTGGAACTCAGCACTATCTATGAGCAATAAAAAAAAATCAGCACCATCAGCATTACCTATGAACAAAATTAGTATCATTAGCACCACCAGAGCTTCGCCCCAATCAACATCATTCACCACGTGAAGACGCGGTCATTTTTTTTCCTTTTTAGTTGAACAAATAAAAAGGAAAGGTGTGATCATTAGATAAATACAGTCTTCAATCTACAATTATCTGGATTGGCGGACATTATGTGGACGAATAACCTTCACAATTAGCTAATATTTAAAGCCTGTTAAATAAACTTTTAATTACTTGTTCGATATGTTATGTGGCAATTGCAGTATTGGGCAGAAATTACTACTAAAGGCTAAATCAATCTGGGCATTTCGCAGAATGACAATTTAATGCCTATTCACAAGACAATCGATCGATATCTCAAAAGGTATTGGAATATTTAATAACAAGTTTTTGTGTCCTGATTTCGAAACTTGTGCAGAAAAAAAAATGACCCGAGCCCTCTTTAAACCTCTTTGAATCAAAAACAAACACTCCCTACAACACGTACATACACTGCCTACAGATAGCCCCGCTCAAACTTAAGTTTATGCAAGGTTTGTTTCAATGTGTACATTTCGAACTAGAACGTCAATGACCAACCGCAGTAACAAGAAGCACTTCGACTTTCCTCAGAAATACCCGGTCTTCCCTTCCATATATAGACTATTATCAAATCCATTACTCTAACGTTAATTTAAGAGAATAGTTTCCCATTAAACATTTGGAATGGCGCGGTTACGTTGCGTCATTATGCGTCACACGAAGAGTATGACGTGCCAACAGAAATGTCAACATGGATCCTTTCAGTTAGTGCGCACTTCCGGTTTTTACGGCGGGCGATCGACCCAAGTAAAAAAATGAGCGGTACGACATACGCAAAAGTTGTGAACATCTGGCTAAATGGGGAAGTAGATAGAAAACACCACGCCTCCTCTGGGAAGTGTTATTAACATACAAACCAAATAATCCAACACAGACCGAACATTTTTTTTTTTCCAATGCTACCTTTTTTTGCAAAACAATCAGCGTTGAACTTAAGTTCACATTAAAAAAACAAGAAAACCGGCCGAGTCTGTTCAAACCGGGGAAACATGATTCAGTCGTTACAACGGACTTAAAAACGTGGATTTCATACACGCAAATCACGGAGTTCACGAAAATTACAATAATACACCCCGGGCAATACGAATGACGAGGCTTAGGA